CAGAAGCACGATTTAACTTAAGGTAAGGTTTAGGGTTAGGTTTAGGGTTAGGTTTAGGGTTAGGTTTAGGGTTAGGTTTAGGGTTATTTTTAGGGTTATGTTACAGCGCGCTTCTGTCGGCGCGCTGTTGTCGTCGCGCTGTTGTCGCGCGGTTTTGACGGCGCGGTTTTGTCACCGTGCTTTAGTCACACGCGCTTTAGTCGATCGCGGTTTTGTGGTGGAACCATGCTATGGATTTAATAGATTTAATTTCAAAAAGATTTGGTGTGCGCAAGATTATGAAGGTAACAGCTGTCTGCAAATCTGTTCAATAGCTGAATCTTTTCCTGGGATCATGGCAGGAGGGAGGGGGGGTAGCCCAAACAAGATTAAGGTTGGGAAATGTGTATTTTATCTCATTATATAATGTAATAATTTGTGACACTAGGCAATTATACTTGGGTAGAATTTCTTCTGTTCGTATTATTCTTAGAATACTGCTATTGCTATTAGAGAATCCAGTGTGCAGTTCTTGGAAAAGACACAGGTTTAAGTTATTGTAGATAGGTGTTAGGTTCATTTCTCAGACCGCTGCAAAGCATCTTTTTAAAATCAAATCCAAATTGCTACATAACCGGATTTGCTAACATTGGAAACTAAGAATAATTTTTTAAAATTAAAATCCATGTCCATAGCAGCCATAAAAATACACTCCAGGTTTTTTTTGTGTGTGTTAATGCTGTGCATATGGCACATATTTTTAGCATAAAGTGATTAGGGTCCTAGTATACCAAACCCGCAATTATTTTATAACATCAAAAATATCCAACCGAAGATCTCACCACTGGGAGAGAGCTGCATTGTCCCTCGGAGTTTGGGAGAATATCCAGTTGCCAGCGGGCTTCCAGGCATCGGGAAATATCCATACTCCTGTCCCATAGCGTAAGGACTGAGGGCTGTGCCAGTTGAGGTCCCGAGGGGCAGCAGTTCAGCGTGAGTGGGGCTGATCCGTTCCGTCTTCAACATCTCCAAATATCTGGGGCTGCTCTTGCCATCGGGGGAAAGGTCCTTGGGAGAAGGTGGTGAGTGCAGGGTGTGGTAGGAGGACGTAGCAGAGGTGTAGATAGGAAGTCCGGTGTGGGTTTTCCCGGAGGCACTGGAGACCCAGGTTGCGGTGCTGTAGGGATGGCTGTCCCCCCATTGCAAACCATTGAGAAGAGGGTATAATTGCCGCACTGTTGTAGAGATGGAACATAATAGTAGCATATGTAGTGATGATGATGATGGTGATGATGGTGATGGTGATATAATTATATGCAAGAAATAACAACACTATAGTGAGCATGTGTTTGCATGCATGTAGACTAAGAAAAAGTACCCTGCCTAATATGTAGTAGATAAGGTGCTATGCATGGTTTCCACAGTCTAATCTGAACAACAAATGCACCTACTTTTGATTGCATTTATGGGACCGTCTTCTGCCACATACCTCCCAGCGACCAATAAGATCTCACAGGGCGGGCCTTCTCCAGGTGCCGTCAACCAGACAATGTCGTTTGGCGGCTCCTCGGGGGAGAGCCTTCTCTGTACCTGCTCCGGCCCTATGGAACGATCTACCCCCTGAGATCCGGACCCTCCCCACTCTCGCGGCCTTCAAAAAGTCTATTAAGACCTGGCTTTTCCGGCAGGCCTGGGGCTGTTCACCTCTTGAATTGAGGTCGGGCCCCACTACGGTTGAGTGCGTGTTGTGTTATAACCTGCTTTGTCTTTTTACTTTTTAAATTTTTTAGTACTTTTTAAATTGTCTTTTATGTAAGCCATCCGGAGTCCTTCGGGATTGGGAGGCAT